TTGTAAGAAGAAAATCAAAATTCTGGTCACAGATATGTCTTAGTAGTAGAGTGCTGGCTTAGCAGAAGGCAAAGCCTTGGTTTTCAGCAACACACACACACACACACACACACACACAAATTTAACTGCTCTAATTACAAGCCACTTCCCTTGGCTGGGCACATGAGAATCAAAGTGGTCTGGGGTTGGTTTAGACAGACCACCTTGCTGCAGAACTTTGTATTACCCTGATTGACACCTCAAGTAAGCTTTTGCAAAATACAGATGACCTGCCTTTCTGCTTTCTAAAATCTGCCCTACTTCTTTCAGAGCAGGTAAGGCAGGCTGAGAATATTAATTGTTAGGAAATAAAAATGTAAGGAGAAAAGAAAAGTCACTGATAGCTCTCTGTGTGGATACGGGTTTGCCTTCTGAGCCCTCTCTTACCTTGATCAACAGAAAAAGCCATTGAGATATCAATTAGAACTTTCCCACTACAGTAATCAATTCTAGTGTCTAGATGGTGGTTCTCCCAGAACCGTTAGGATGGCTATGACACTGAGATCCTTCAATGGATCTTGTTACCAAGATCAAAACCAGAGGACAACATCTGTCTCTTCTAGAGCAATCAATTCCCAGTCCAATTCCATTTGCTCCATGTGTAGAGTGGCGGACCCGCAGGGCACTTTTCATCTAATAGTGTTTCTATGGAAACACCATTCTCAATCTGGAAGATTCTACAAGACCTCACACTGGCTGTATCCATGAGAAGAAAGTCTTATAAATCAGATATTGAGCCATGAATTTGGCCACACTCATATAAAAATATTTTCTAGGCTAGATGTTCAAACACAGAAAATAAAGAAATAAAGGAAACAAGTGCACATAGAAAATATGTGTATTTGTCTCAGAAACGACATTTATAAGGCTTAACCTGAGGGGATCCTCATATCAGTGAAAAGACTGGGAGCTAGTTAAAGCCAAGTGATGACCTTTGACCTTTGAATACTTTCTCCACCTGAGTCTATATCTTGACATCTACTCCTCCCAACTTTTGGAATGCCTGGAATACACAGAGGCTCCAAACAGGAGCACACAATCACTGCACATTCTATAGAAGACCCTCATTAACCACTTTCCTATCTAGATTATAGCTTTAAAATGTAAAATGATCAGGTAGGGACACCAAAGACCCTTGTTTTTCACCTGAAACATTGTATTTAGTTCTTTTCTTCATTCCAAGTGGCACAGGAACATATCTTTATAACACAATGTAGTAAAAGATGAGGAATGTGAAACATATCCAGCAGAAGTCCAAAGACATACTATGCCATTTACTTTGAGGATAATGCCTAGGAGACGGGGAAATATCTTGATGTGACATAAGTCCTGAACTGATTCTGACTCATGAAGATATTAAGTAGCTTGTAATTGTGTGCAATGGTTTGTCTTCAGGCAAACACAAGCATCTCCATTAATAAATGCTTCTCTTCCCTTTCCGCTTCTCTCTTATTAACTATCTAAATCATGTCAGCCAGCCTTTTCTCTTGCAGGGAATCGTTTCTTTGAAGAGACTTTCCCTACTTATCAACACTGACAAATGTTCGGGAAGTCTAAGCTGGGGGGATTGACTCCATAATCACCAGAGTCTCAGACTAGTTTCCTTTGCTCCTGTTGTCTTATTATACATGAGTATGCAGGTTAGATGGCTACAGTCCAGAAGTCCAAGAACCAGCCTTTAGTTCTCTGGACTAGTAACATGGGTGGCTGATTAAATCTACCTGTAGCTAACTGAATGCCAAGGCAGTTTCCTTCTCCTGCAGCTGGCTGCAAAGCCTTTTCTACTCCTTTGACACACAAATGCTTGAAAGCCTTTTCGACTTTTAAACTGAATAAACTCAATAGAAGGATCTGTCCATCTATTTTGAGAGAAAGGAAGGAAGGAAGGAAGGAAGGAAGGAAGGAAGGAAGGAAGGAAGGAAAGAAAGAAAGAAAGAAAGAAAGAAAGAAAGAAAGAAAGAAAGAACTGGCAGCTTACTTTCTACAAGGTGTTTCAGCTTTTAGAATATGCCTTTTGGCACTTAAGAAAAACTCATTTATAATTTACCAATAAATGGTTATTGCTATTTTTTAATTAGCAAGAGTTTTGACTGCTCTTTTATGTGGAGGAATATTTCAGAATGAAGTTTCCAGATAAATCACATTAATCACGCAGAAATAATGCAATTGTTTTACAATCTGTGACAGTTTTCCTAAGGAAGACTTAAGTTTCCCTCGAGAGCTACTAGGACTTGAAGTAAAGTTACCATAAGTCAGTATTAGCAGGTAGGACACTCAGCAATACTCTTTCAAATCTATCGCTTTTGCCATAGAATTTATTGGAATCAGCTCCTGACGGTAACTCTGCCTAAGTGCCCCGGACATCCTCTCTGTAAGTATAGAAAAAAAGGGGGGGGGGGGAGGGAGACTCCTTGAAAATGGAAATCCACTTGTTCTTTCCGTTACAGGGAATGGGGTGGATTCTCCCTGGGAATAGTAGAAGGGTGAAAAAAGTTCTATGCCCCATAGCTCTACTTTCAAAAATGCAACCAGAGGAGCTGGCGTGTTGGAAGTCATTCTCATTACCCATAGTCCTTTATGAGCAGAAGGTGCTGGAGTGGGTCAGGGTGTAGTTCCCAGTAGAAACTGCAAGGCAACTTCCACAGACATTCATAGAAAGCCCAGGAAGCCTGGAGGGAGGACTTCTTTTCCAGGGCAGTGACCCACACTAGTGACTGAGGGCAACCAGCCAAGCCTCTAGAAATCAACTCGTGGGTAATTTCCATTACAATTGTCCCAGTAACACACAGTTCACATAAGCATTATGCTATAGGTAAAATCATGCCACTAGAAAGGATTTGGTTTCTGTTTGATTTTTTTTTCTTTCTTTTAGATGGTATAGATCTCTGAAAGGTTCTTCATCCTTATCAGGGGTATAACCTAGGAAAACTAACAGATGCGTAAGATAGCTTGCTCCTATCTCTTTCTGATTTTGCCCTAACCAATATTTGATTATATTTTACTCAGGGACATCTCAGAGTCAAGTCACCCCGAAGCTCCTTCTCAAGCTGAGAAGGAGCTGAGGCTATCTATTTCTTCTTATTGTTAAGATAGGAAGTAGCGGTAGTTTGGTTGTAAGTTCAGGACCATCCTGATTTGACTCTTACTGCAGAGCAGAACAGAGCAGAGCAGCCAGTTGGCTCTCAGACAAACTCCCATACAGCATGAGCACCCAGACTGACTGTCATCTCTTCTCTAAACAATGTTTTCATCATCTGCCCTGGGTACCACAGTCCTTCCTTCTCTAGTACACCCATGGTTAGGGATCATCAGTTGGAAAGTTACACAAGGCAGACCACAAAACATTCACCTATATGCAATAAATTTTAGACAAGTAATGAAGTCAGGATCCTCTCAAGGAAAGCAAATATGTGGTCAAAATCATGGTGTCTTAATCCAGTAGCTTTTAGTGCTAACCATCTCATGAACTTTACTCAAAAATGTGCAACACTGTCTAGACCAATGGTTCTCAACCTGTGGGTCAGATATCCATATATTATATATTTATAGTACGATTCCTAGCAGTAGCAAAATGACACTTATGAAGTAGCGACAAAAATAAGTTTATGGTTGAGGGTCACCCATGACATGAGGAACTGTATTAAAGGGTCGTAGCATTAGGAAGGTTGAGAACCACTGTTTTAGACAATGTTTTGAATCACAATGAGAAGAAGAGAAAATTGTTGTTTTTAGTTTTTGCTACTGATCTCGGTTTTGGTTTCATTCATCAGGGCTGGAGAAGGTGGATTAATTTATATCCTTGAGTTTTATTGGAGGTACAGCCCCTATCCAGAGCAGCAGAATTAATGCTGCTTTCATATACCACCGAATACCTTCCTTTAGACCAAAACAACTCTTGAAGAACATAGCTGGAAAACTGGGCAAGCAAGTGAGAGTCACTAGGCTCTGGGCTTTCATGTTTAGGGGGAAAAAATCCTTTAAGAAAAGCAACCTAAGTTTAAAATAGTGAGTCTGTTGAAGCCAAAGTCACATTTTTTTAATGTCTATTTACCTACATACCGCTATTTTAACTTGCATCCATAATATTGAAAATACTCTGGTCAACAATTTTAACTCATTTTTAGAATATTATTTTATCCACAAATTTTAATTTTGGCTTCTTTCTTAAATGCCAAAAAAAGTCCACATACACTTACAAAATAGCCACCAAAAGATTGCGATTATAAATATTTTGAGCATGAAATTCATTCAGAACAATCAGCAAACTAAACAAATCCCCTATTGGAGTAAAACCCTGAGTCTCTAGTTTCTCACATCTCCAGAATTCCTGCAGTGAAAAGAGCAGTACTCACACAGAGAATATAGACTGCTGCTTTGCTGGAAAAGTCCCAGGGGACTGTACAGGAAGAGTTGCCTGTGTATTGCTGGTTTCCTTTACAGCTCTAACTGCAGGGACGACTCTCACTGGAGTGACTCACCACATTACTGTTGCAATGGAAGGGTCTAATTCAAGCCACTGTACAGCAAATTACGTGACCATCTTCCATCCAAATACTGTAGATGGTTTTGGAGAGCACTCACTAGGAGAGTCCACTAGAGTGCTCATTCCAGTTATCATCTATAGAATGGGTGTTAACTTTCCTTTCAGAAAGTTTAGTAACTAGCTGTAAGCACTTCAGAGTCACTTTGAAAAGCAATGTCATTTCGAACATACATTCATAGAACCACAAGTACACATGGACTCCCAATTCTTATAACTTAGGAAAATTAACACAATTACAATAGTGAACTTCAAATGAAGCTACTGATTTAGGGTATGGGTCTAGGAAGTAAGTGCTAACTCTTGGTTAAAAGTGGGGAACCCCGTGATGTAGGAAGTGCAGAGGGATAATTTTTTTTCTTTATCAAAACTGGTTCATCGTCCATATTTAGTTTACATATGTCATTTAGAATCCACTTACTGTTAGATGCTGGAACAGCCACGCCCTCATGATATTGGTGGCTACTTTGGGAAAGATGCCACGCTTTTTGTGACGCTTTTTGTCCTTATCAGGGTCATCATCGTCACCTGTGCTGGGGGAAGCTACACTGTTGTCCAAGCCATCACCTGCAAACATAGTGAATCAAATTTTGACTGATGCTACCTTGACATGCTTTTTTCAAATAGAATGCCTTTGGAAACAAACAAAACCAAAAGAGCAGTTCAAAGATTAGTAGTTTCTTTGGTACTTTTAATTTTATTCCAAGACAAAGAGAAAGAACAAGGTCTCAGCTCAAAAATAATCATGCATATATATATATATATATATATATATATATATATTAAATCTTTCAAAGATCAGTGCTAAAGGCAAAAGGACTGGAGGGAAATATCCATCTCTTGAGTGGCTTTGTTGCCATGGTAATTATTCCAGTCTATGTAACACCTCTACTGGGTAGTTCAGTGTGGTGGCACGATCAGTGGGGGTCTCTGCCTGGGTATTTGAACTCCATATAAAGTCACTGACGTCAACTGGAGAGAAGATGCATTTAATACAGCAACTGCTGCCACAGGTGATCTGTCTTCAGACTGGCTGGGGTGGGAGCAGGATGGGAAAATGCAGGCAATCCATCAAATAAGCAATTTGTCATGGAATGCTTCAAAGGAGAGAGATAATTTTGCTTAGTGTCACAAGAGCATCATATTCAGTAAAGGAAAACCCCTGACATATTTTGTAATTACAAAATAATTGCAATTGAAATAAAATAGCGTAATGCTAGAATTGCATTGCAGTAATAATCTGGGCAGTTTCTAAAATTTTGTCTTCAAGGATCACACACTGAGAGGTCACCTGGTAACTATTCCTAAAGGACCCAAGTTTTCTACTGATTTTTGTTAGAAACACTTGAGTCATTTATTTTAGGAAATACTTCAGCTCTGCGACTCAGTAAAATGATAATACAGCATTCCTTTAATAATGCCATATATGATGAGATGAGAAAAAGTGTTACTATATAATCACAGGATTATTATATAAATTTATGTAAGTCATAAGATCTACATTAGAAATACCTATTTTTGATCTTTGCACCGAAGTCGAAGGACGAACAATGGACTAAATCCACTCTCGTGATCAGCATTTGGGCTCTGACATGTCTCACCAGAGAGCTACCTGAAGCCCTCTGCCCTGTCTGTGAGTTTTGGAAATGGACTTTTAGAAATGGACTTCTTGATCTGGGCCTAAAATGAAAAGCTACAATAGCCAGGCTTCAAAATGCTGTAGCAACCACACCCAGAGCATCCTCATCCCTTTAAAGAGGCCATTGGGAACCTATGGTCCAAAGAACCTGACACTTAGCTAGTACACTTTGCCTGATGACTACTACCTATTGGAAATCACATTAGATTTTCTTACATGGCTTCACTTCTTCTGTTGTTTGTTGCTACTACAGGTCCTCAGTGCAACAAAGATCGCTAGTTGGATTTCGCTGATTCTAGTCATTCACAGCAGTTACGCTGAAGATTTTCAATTGTTCATAACTATTGTGTCAGGAAACTCATACATGTGACAAGTGACCCCTGTGGCTTTCACTCGTCTTGATGTGTCTGGAGATAAACTACCCCTAGTCAGAAGCAGATGGATTCCGACATTTTGACTGTTAGTAGAGTTATACCATGCCAAGAGGCTTGACAGAGCTTCTTGTAATGCAAACTTTTATAAAACATCTACAAGTTTAGTGCATTTAACATCTAGATAACTCGTGACGGTTTCCTCGGCTCATAGACTGGGTTCTCTCTAGAAAAGATCATGAAGACTCCCAACACTAAAGCCATCAGCCCATCCAGCTAAAGGAGAAAGTCCTGATCTTCAGCGTCACATGGCTGGACACGCTCATGTTGGGTTCCTTGGTGGACCAGACACCCATACACCTGAGTCAATGCTGCCTAGCCTTTATTTGCATAACCAAGTATTATGAGAAATCCCCTTGGGTTTGCCTAATAAATTCTTTGAAAGTCTAGTATTTAAAGAAGCTTCTTCTACAGAGAAGCCATTCACCACATAAAACAACAATTCATTAAAGAAACATGAGAAGAGAAAACGGCTCCACAGCATTTAAATTTGCAATAGCTAATCCACCTTCGCTACGCAGAAGGTGGCCCAGGAAGAGAAACATACGACTCACTCAGCGATTAAAAATGAAAAGCTTCTAACCTACCAATACTGTTTTCCCCACCTCTCCGTGATAGGTCTCCACCTTCACAAAAATAGCCTTTTTATCCATCTCAAACCCCTTCAGATTAATTTAGCAAGCAATGTCTAGTGCCTGCCTAGAAGAGAATTCATTGATAATTTATGGAAATATCTACCATAATCCAGTGGAGATGACTTTTTTTCCAGCTTTGTGCATTAATAGATAATCAAGGCCTTAAAGCAGCCTTAGCTTCCCATTACCTCGGGCAAAAGAATTCCTGAAAGCAGGCCTTGAGGGCACCTGAATTATATACTCCATTAGGAGAGGGAGGCTTTCTGCATTCCACATGTAACACTCCCCAGAACCTTTCCTGTTTATTTCTGCTGTATGAAAGCAGAAGCATTAAGAACAGGATTTTTTAAGTGAAGACTTATGGAGATACAATGGAGAAGCCTTTCAGTCAGGAGCCAGATCACCCCTTCAGTCCCTGGCAGTGACCTCTCTTGAATAAAAGGTTTCTGTTACATCATTAGCTCAAGCCAAAAACAGCCTGGCTTAATGCACAGTTTGTTCTTCCTACTGTTTTTAGGCAAATACAGCTACTTTACTCCCATCTGGGAGGGAAATTACACTGCTGGGTTGTAATCTAAGACAAGATTTTCATTGGAAGCAAATGCTTTCAATCCAGTGTAAATACTGGTGCATGTTCAGAAAGCCTAAAACAATAAACCTCGCTCCTTCCCAACACGGTTAGGGAAATGGAGAAGATGGGGGCCCCTGAGAAGAGCATAATAAAACAGAGTATTCTAAAAGCAAACACTTTCATAGATTTTAATAAATTGTTTAACCTCTTCCACTTTCTAAAATTGAAAATTGATCTCACAGCGTCTCGACCTCAGAGGAGACTCTAAATGGTCAATTGTACCTTTAGCATTTCAATTCACTCCACAATTTGATACAGTCACCTCAATGTGATCTCGGGAGGATTTATTTCCTTTTTTTATATTTTTTTATTTTTTATTATTTTTTTTTTATTTTGAAGATCACTACATAAACTTGGAGAACCGCGGCCGACCACATGGCAGCAGGCAGAGGCTCTGAAGCCTATTTGTAAAATGTCAGCGGTGACTTCATTCCTGGTGCTGACTTCTCCTGCCGCCAAATGAAGGCAAACTGAAAAGGTGGAAATAATCATAAAAATGATGCTCCTCCATAAACAAGCTTACGGCCTCATTAGGGTAGCAGTGGGCTCCGCTGGGTGATTTATGCTCGTTTTGCTGATGCTATGAGGAAATGCCACAGGGCGACTTTAGCCAACTGCTAATGGTTTCTGACAGCTTCTTAGCAACTAGTGCAAGCAACGTTGTGGCGTTTGCTAGTGACAGAAACCGAAAATGTCATATTATCTGCCCATGTGTCATGAAGTCCGTGTGGCAATTAACTAGTAGGCCAGTGACTGAGGGGCCAGAGGCTCCTGCAAATGGCCTTTGGCTATGCAGAGGCAGCAATGGCTGCCTGCGTGCACACTGCCGCACGTATGTAATATTCTAATGCAGAAATCCACTGCCCGAAACTTCCTAGGTTCTGATGAGAGCAGACTAGGCCACTCACATTCCTTTCCTTCCCTCACCTACGTGACTCTCTGGGCAGAGGCTCTGATGCTATCAGAGGACTCGAGAGGAGTCTGCCTTGCTGTGATTAATTGGTGGTACCTGGCTCTGTGCTTCTGGATGCTGGATTCTAAGGCACCAGCTATTTTTTTCTGCTCTCTGATAAATTAGTCTAAAAGGATTGAAGATCACTGACGCAGACTCATTGCCAGATTGCAAGAAGCAAAGGAACTCTGTACCACAAAATGATACTAGTCTACTAACACCAGGCTTCTAACAAGAAGGGGGAGACTCTTGGCCACACTTTGCAGTTTCCAACCTATCAAAACCATGCACTGTATGTCAAACTGTCAAATCTTTCAGCGTAGGCCATTTGCCCTTGCAAATAATATTTAAGGATTGTTTTTACAAAATTTTATAGGCCATGGTCTAGTGAATGAGGCTAACCAACAAAGGAAGGAATTTGTACTACGATTCCTCTCTGGACAGTCTCTGGTGAGACCTGGGCCTGTCCCTGTGGAGCAAGGCAGGTGACCTGTGGCAACTCCCAGGCTGCCAGAGAGCTCAGATTTCAAACACACTCAACTCAAACATCCCATGTCGCCTATTTAAGCATGCCTAGGCATTTAGACTCTGCTATCTCCTGCCTTTCAAGGCAGGATAAAACAGCATTTATTGTATTCAGACCATTCAATAGGTCAGTCTGACCAGGTCAGTGGGGATTCCTCTATAGGCAAGTCCAAGCTCTGCACACCCCCCCTCCACCCCCACCCTCCCACCCCACTGGCCTTAAACTTTCTCCTTCTTTTCTCCCAGGGCTGCCATTCCTCAAAATACATCAGTAGGGAGGCAAAAACAAAACCCTTAAAAAGAGCCTAAGATTTACATCACAACTGATGGGAACTTTGCCTGTCAGTGGGGCTATCAGGTAAAAATAAAGTGGATGTGTGTCCCAGGGCCTCTGGGTCATAGAGGCAAAACTAATTAAGGAAGTGAACTAAACTTTCAACTGCCAGGGCAAATGAAAACATAAGGTTGAGACACCCTTGTTTAGCTGTAAGTTATCAGACAATCATAGATTTGAGGGCATTTTCATTTACGGCTTTGTGTGGAGACTCCATAGTTTAGTTTAGGGACATATCCTTTCTTTGACCTTTATAGGGTTTCAGAATAACAGTCCTTAGACATAGCTAGATTCAGGAACCCATACCATTGGTAACTGTAGCTTACAACCTTGGAAAAAATCTATTTTGCCCTGAAAATGGTCTAAATGGTCACTTCAAAGCTGAAGTATTCCTACCGAGAGGATTATGTACATTGTGAC